ATCCAAGGTAAGGCCGGTCATGTGAATATGCTCACTACTCCAATTTTCCAGGAACATTGTTAGTACCACCTACATTTTCTCTTATTTCAGTATCATACTTCAAAAATACATGTACTTTTAGGCACATGCTAACCCCTTAAATGATAAGTGGTTTAAGTGTTAGGGCTCTTCACTCAACAAATCACTTAAATATGAAGTTATTTGACCCTCACTTACTATTAAATAAGGATGGTATAGGAAATGCAACACAATAAAATTCATTCAGCAAATGTTGATTGAACTCGTGCTATATAATAGGAATTATTGGTTACAGAATAGTTACCTACATCATAAAATTAGCCTTCTTTAAAGGTCATGTGTTTTAGAGATATTATATAAATAAAAAGATTATCTGGCTAAATAAAACTTTGGATTATGGAAAGATTTCATCTAGAATTATTTACTTTTCACTACCATTTATAAAATCTCACCTTAAAAAGGTTGACAATAATGAGTGTAATAAAGTGTCACTAAATCAGGACTTACCACATATTTTGCTGATTGAATATATGTGGTTTCTTCTTGAGTTAGTGAGTAGTATACTAACTTACATCTCCAGTAGCATTTTACACTTATTAAGACACTTTTGTATACCAGCTCCCATTTGAAGTCTATAGTAACCCTGTGAACTAAGTAGAGCAGGCACTATCTCTATTTTAGAGACAAGGAAATTGCCTCCGAACATAGGATTGCCCAAGGTCACCCAGGTAAAATTCCTACTTCTTTCCACTCTACCTTCAAGCAGCCTTTCACTCACTCATTCAATAAATATCCTTTGAGTGCTTACTGTGCGTTATGTGTAGGTACTGAAGAGATGGTGATGTCTAATTTAGAGACATGGTGGGATAGGGCACAGAGATATTGTCACAAAAGGTCTCTGAGGAAGTAATATCTGAAAGATGTATAGGAATGGGCCAGGAAGAAAGGTGGGAGAATTTAATTCAGGCAGAGAGAACTCCATAGAAAATGCCTGAGCTCCTGAAACAGGAGGAGTTGAAAGAAGACCAGTGTGGCTGAACAATTCTTAAAAAGGGGAAAGGTGTTATTAAAGTGGCTATCAGTCCAGGCAAGAAGAAACTTATGTGCCAGACTTACACATAAGCCCTGGTAAAGAGTCCGGTCTCAGTTCTGAGGACAGTGGAAGGCAGTGAAAAGTGCTCAGGCTCTCTGTCCCCTGCTGTAAGTCAGAAAATTTCTTGAGTGGAGGCACAAATAAGCACATGATGTTCAACTCACTTCAGTTCATTTCCCTTTTCTCCCGAATCTTGGCACATCAAGTCCTGGATACTTTAGCTCCTTTCTAATGTCTTCAAATACCTGGAGTTTTGATTTAGTTTGGTTTCATCCAGTTTCCCCCACACACACATTTGTGCACATTTATTTCTTATTCTTAGAATTAATTATGTACATATTCCGGCCTGAGATTTTTAGCTCTAGAGTTTTCAGTTAGGAAGTAAAATTATAGCAATGTGAGATGAAACCATATGAAGATTTATTCTCCTTTATATTTGTTATATATATTATTAAAACCAGGTAAATATGTATTCCCTTCACATTAATTTTCTCTGTGGGGAAAAGAGAACCCTCTGGGGAAAAAAATGTGATGTTTCAAAAACTACTTGATGAATCTTTTCTATTAAAGTTGTGTAAGATTTAATTGTGGCTAGTGTTTGACTAGCCCCACTTATAATTTCATCTTACTATAGTTGATAACTTTCAAAACAAATGAACATTAAAAAGAAAGGTTAGAGTGCAAATCCCTAGTAAAATACACACAAAAAAATTCATACACACAATAAAATGTACCAGTACAAAAAATAAGGCCAAAATATACTCAGTGTGACATTTTATTATGTTTTTTAGCTTTGGTTCCTTCTTTTTCCTTACACCAGTTTACTATGAAAATAGTCTTTCATTTTTACATTGTAATCTAATTGTTCATAAAGCCCAAAACTATAGGTTACAAATGTATATGGAGTTTTGACAATAAAATGACATATGTTAACACAACGTCTTTTGTATAGTAAAAAGTATTCTACTTATTTTGCCATTAACAGTTGCCTTGTTTAAGAGAGTTTATACACATTAAGTAACAAACACTGTCAACTAGCATATCAGCACTTCCAATGTTGAATCAATCAGGTATTACCTAGCATTGAATTTTTGAAGCTATTCATCTTATAAATTCAAAATCGCTACTCAATCCCATGTTCTAAAATCTGCACTTTGGAGATACATTTTTATGATGATGACAAAATAAAATTATGTAAAGAATGTTATCAAACATAGTATAAAAATACAATTACAGAAATATGAAAACAGCACCTTTTCTTAACTTCAAATGTAGATTTCTATCTTAAATTTTATCAAAAATCACAGAGAACATCTAGGTAACTGGAACATACAGAAAGGCTGAGAAAAAAATTAATTGGAACTAGGGTTTATTACAGACCATGGTGATAAAATAATTTATTCAAAATATCCATTAATTGGAAAACACTTCTTTTATTCATTCCCTCTCCCCTCTCTTCTTTATATTGTTTTAACAGATGCTGTGGTCTTCTACAAAGTGTTAAAATTTCACTTAAAGAAATATAACAAATAGTCTGGCCAAGATGGAGGCACAGATAGTCAAGCTCTACCTCCTCAAACAGTAAGGAGGATCACAACTAACTTCAAAACAAAAACAACCAGAAGTGCCAGAAAATAGAACTGTATGGAAGCCTGACAACCAAAGATTTATTTTTTTTTAAAGATTTTATTTATTTATTTTTAGAGAGAGGAGAGGGAGGGAAAAAAAGAGGGAGAGAAATATTAATGTGTGGTTGTCTCTCAGGTATCCCCAACTGGGGACCTGGACTGCAACCCAGGCATGTGCCCTGACTGGGAATTGAACCTGCGACCCTTTGGCTCACAGGCCAGTGTTCAATCCACTGAACCACACCAGCCAGCATAGATTTAAAGAATAAACATTCATCCAGGTGGGTAGGAGGGACAGAGATGGGGAGCCAGAGTAGACAGGATGTGGTGTGGCGGTGGCGGCAGCTGGTGGAACAGGCAGTCCCACATTCATGTGAGGTGGATAAAAACCAGAAGGGACACCTGGGGAGTGAGTCAGGGTGCCAGCATCAGGAAAATAAAGCCTCATAACTTCTGCCTATAAAAATCAGTGGGGGTTGGGGTGGCAGAAGAAACTGCCAGCCTCTCAGGACACCTTCAACTACTTAAAGGACACACATGATCCTAGATCATATGCGAACACATCGACTCTGGTATTCAGCAATAGAGCAGCAGCTAGAAGGGCACTAGTCACATTTGGGAAATGGGGTGACTGGAAACAGGCGAGAGCCAAATAAATGGCATTGTTCCTTTTCTAACCCTTCTGCCACATATACCACAAAGCAATGAAGACGGTTCCCCCACCCCCGGCGATACCTAAGGCTCCACCCCTTACAATGTAACAGGTACACCAAGACAGGGAGTTAAAGCAGCTCTACCTAATATACAGAAACAAACACAGGGAGGCTGCCAAATTGAGGAGACAAAGAAATATGGCCCAAATGAAAGAACAGGTCAAAACCCCAGAAAAAGAACTAAGCAAAATGGAGATAGCTAGCCTATCAGATGCAGAGTTCAAAACACTGGTGATGTGGATGCTCAGGGAACTCACTGAGTACAGCAAACACATAAGGAAGAAATGAAGGCTACACTAAGTGAAATAAAGAAAAATCCATAGGGAACCAACAGTGAAGGGAAGGAAGGCAGCGTTCAAATCAACAATTTGGAACATAGGTAGAAATAAACAGTCAACTAGTGCAGAATAAAGGGACAAGAATTCAAAAAAATGAGGAGAGAATAAGAAGACTCTGGGACATCTCTGTAAGGGCCAACATCTGAATCACAAGGATGCCAGAAGGAGAAGAGGGAGAGCAAGAAATTGAAAACTTATTTGAAAAAATAATTGAGAAAACTTCCCTAATTTGATGAAGAAAATAGATACACAAGTACAGGAAGCACAGGGAATCCCAAACAAGGTGGACCCAAAGAGGACTACACCAAGACACATCATAATTAAAATACCAAAGGTTAAAGATAAAAAGAGAATCTTAGAAGTGGCAAGAGAAAGACAGAGAGTTACCTACAAAGGAGTTCCCATAAGACTATCACCTGATTTCTCAAAAGAAACTTTGCAGGCAAGAAGGGGCTGGCAAAAGGTATTCAAAGAGATGAAAAGCAAGGACCTACATCCCAGATTACTCTATCCAGCAAAGCTATCATTTAGAATGGAAGGGCAGAGAAAGTGCTTCCCAGACAAGGTAAAGCTAAATTAGGAGTTCATCATCACTAAGCCCTATTATATGAAATGTTAAAGAGACTTATTTAAGAAAAAGAAAATTAAAACTATGAATGGTAAAATAACAACAAACTCACTGCTATCAACAACTGAATCTAAAAAAACAAAAACAAAGCAAATGACTAGAACAGGAACAGAATCATAGAAATGGAGACCACAGGGAGGGTTATCAGTGGAGAGGAGGAAGGGGGAAAGGGGAGAAAAGGTCAGGGATTAAGAAGCATAATTTGTAGGTACAAAATGGACACGGGATGTTAAGTACAGCACAAGAAATGGAGATGCTAAAGAACTTATATGCATGATCCATGGACATGAACTGATGGGGGGGAGTGCTGGAGGGAAGGAGGTACCTGGCAGAGGGGGGCAGAGGGGGAAAATTGGGGACACTGTAATAGCATGATCAATAAAATATACTTAAAAAATATATATAAATACTTTAAAATAATGAAAATAAATTGATATGCCTTAGAAACAGTGTTCTTGTGAAGTTTTGGTCTTCTTAACAGGTGATGGCCAAAACCCAAACTGTAGAATAATACTCAGAAACTTAAAGTTCAATTTAGATATTGATAATAGGTCTCCATTTTAATAAGGCGTTTGAAGGATATTACAATTTCAGTGCTTCAACAAGATCATCAATGTCTTCATCATCATCTCCAATATCATCAAATTGGATTTCATCATCCCCAGGACCAAATGTATCTGTTTCATTGATTTTAGCATGTTCTGGAAGCTCGCCATATGCCTTCAGACTTCTAGCTTCGTCTGCATTGTACTTTAAAATCACATCAGCTTTGTTATCCTGATAGTCTCGCAGACCAACCAATATAATGTCTGAGGTATTTATCCAAACCTTTTTTCTCAACTTTCCTCTGATATGGCATAACCTCTTCACACCATCAAAGCACATTGCTTCTAGCCGTCCATTTCCCAACATTTTGATGACCTGAGCATACTCTTGTCCATCTTCTTTAAAGACTAATTCTCTTTTTTCAGATTCATTCTCATTCTTACCTCTCCGCCTGTTTTTACCTCCTTTACCCTTATTCTTGGGCATGGCTGTGCCGATGGCTTCCTGGCATTTCCCACTCTCATCCAGTGGTTCCTGCGCAACGGTGACGCCTGCAAAGGGACCCATGAGACGACGCAATTGCAGATCTCGTGCGTGGGGACACCACTGTGACTGAGTTCTAGGGTGATGCGTAGGCGCCCACGCTCCTGGATAAGCAAATGGCGTCGCTGCCGCTGGCGTCACAGCTCTGGCCAGTTTTGATCGTTGTCTGGTCTGTTATAAGCTAACCCGAAGCAAGTCTTCTTTAAGGGTTATTTCATTATGCCTCATCACCGCAACTCATTCACTTCTTTTTTGTCCTTTACTCTCTCAGCTGACGACCATGACTAACCCTTCAAGGAGAAAAGAAAATCCACAAAACCTCCTGCTAACTTGTAGTAGGTAAGGCAGAGGAGACCTCTCAGCAGTCCCACGGGTCCGGGGAAACAAAAGTTGGAGGAAACAAACGCAGCCAGCGCTTCAGGAGCCCTACAGTTCGTGTAGCGAGTGCCCTTAGGACATTTACCAAGTCTTTAAGTGCGACAGTGAGAGGGCAAGAAACCAAGCAGCAATCATCTGCTAAAAAGATAAGCAGAGCTTTTGGCAACTGCATGGTACTGGCTAGAGAAAAAATTACAGTTCAGGGCCCACCAAGGAAGACGGGCGCTGATAAACTCCAGACTTCCGTGGATACTCCTGCTACAATGCTTGGCTCAGGGATGAACACAGTATCTAAGCCAGGCCAGCCAAAGTCTTCCTTAGAGGAACCATCAGAATGAGGTACTTCCTTAGAGGCTCATTAGACTTCTGGGTCATTTTTAAGTCTGGGCTGCCAGGAACCATTTTGCCAACTGGTAGAGAAAGCTGGCCCGAGAATAAGGATAACAAGGAGGAGAGCTAGCCACAAGATAAAAATCAAGTTCTGCTGACATGGTTTGAGCACCTAGATCTAACTGTTCCTGAAAGCAGGCACTCTTTCCTAGACTTTTCAGTTTCTTGAGCCAATATATTTACATTTTTGCTTAAGTCAGCTGAAACTGGGTTTCTATCATGGCAATAAAATAAGCTCTGATAAATTCAGAATTAAATTAAGGAGGCCTCCAGAACAGAAATTACATAAGCCTAGAGCTGCTTGCACCCATGTTTTCTTAAAAAAAAAAAAAAAAAAAAAAAAAAAGCCTGTCCACAATAGAATAAGAATAGAACATTCTCTGACATCAGTTGAATTCTTGAATCAAGTCAACCATGAGATCAGCATCTGGATGAATGAGACAATAAATCCCCTATTTTTCTTAAGCTGACTTGTATTAAATCTCTGTCATTGTAACAAAGAGTCCTATCTTATTGTATTTGTCCTAATATAAGTGAGATATCAATTTCTCTAAAATAAAAAACAATAATACTCTGTATTATTGATGATGTGCCAAGTAAGGGCCTCTCATACACTGCTGGTATTTGGATACAAATATTTTGTAGAGTAATTTGACTCTAGACCTCAAAAGCCTTAACAATTACACATGCTTGAAGGAGAAAGAGAGGGATGAATAGGTAAAGCACTGGGATTTTTAGGGCCATACAACTGTTCGTATAATACTATAATGGTGAATACATGGCATTACACATTTAACAAAATCCATAGTGCCATTCGTGGGTTCTTTGGCGGCCCTTTGAGGCCCTCTGTCCACCTAGCTCCCTTAAGTGGTGCGCACTTTGGGGGTTACCTTGCCCTGGTGGGTCACCCTTTTAGAGGATTATTTCCAAGAAGGATTAAGCCCAAGTACCTTGTACTCCTTAAAAATCCCCAAGGGCCCCCTAGGATCTACAGAGTTCAAACTGCTTGGCATGGTAGCCAAGGCTTCCATTATGTAGTTTAAATGGACTGTTCCAGACTCATTTCCCATTCATAAGGGACTCTTCTTTGTGTTTTGAAAATACTAGCTCTTTTCCTCTATCATTGTCTGCAAATAGTCCCTTATGTAGATTGAAGCTGGAGTGGTCCATTCAATCCACCGTTGCATATATCATTTCTGACATGGACCAAATAGAAAGCAAGTTAAAATGTGATGTGATTTTGTACAAGTGGTAGAGTGTAAAAAATGAGAATGTGTTTTAATGTAACATAAGAGACTAAGTCTCTTGTGACTAAGTATAGGGGCTCTCACACTGACCCCATAAAGAGGAAACCAACGGGTACTTTTTGACTCTACAGTGAACTAAATCTGAAAAGCCATACTCATGTAAATGGTCATTTATTACTTTTTTTTACAATTTTGGAATAAAGTCACAAACAAATCACAGAAAACTCAATTGTGATCACAGGAAAGAGTATATTATCCACATGGAACACTTAAAACTGAAGTTGCTGCTGTCAGAGGTTGGGAATTAAAAGGGAAGAAAGACAAGGCAAAGGGGACCATCCAAACACAAATATCTTCAACAAGAGACACTCTCTTGGTGAAATAACAGATAGAAGTTCAAGGATGATGTCAAATCAAAGAGGCAACTGGTAGAGAAAGCAGAGGTCAGTGACAAAATTATCTTGGGAGGAGGGAAACAGAGCAAGAGAGCTAAATGTGCACTCATCATGATATCGAAATGAAATAACACATTTAGAAATTCAAAGGTAATCACAAAAAAGCCAAAAACAGAAACTGTTAATAGTTTCCTCTGGAGAATCAGTTAAAAGGATGCCATGAGGAAGCAATCAGTCAAATCCATAAGACAACTGACCTAGTTTAACAAGTCAATGGCATGGGAGGAAAAAAGTGAGTTACAGAGTAAATAACACTTAGGAGAGAAAACAATTAAATTCAATGTGGAAACTTCATTTGGGATCCTTATTAGAACAATTTTGAAACATTCAGAAAATTTTGATTATGAAATGGATGTAAGATGATACAAGAAACTTCATTTTGTTAGGTATAATAATGGCATGGAGGTTAGATTTTAAAATATCTTTTGTAGTGAAGTATTTCTAGGTAAAATGACATGATGTTTAAGATTTGCTTTCAAAATACTGCAGTGCCAACCCTTTCTACCCCCAAAATATCGAGGAATAGAGAAACAAGACTGGCCAAATGTTGATAATTATGGAAGGTGGGTTCATGGAGTTCACTGTACCATTCTCTGCTGATTTTCTTTCATAAAAGGCAGGGGATTTAGCTCATTTGAATCGCCCTAATGTCTTAGGTTAGGTCCCTCAGGACACTGGCTCTGAGGCAAAGACTTGCATGAGGAGGTTTTGGGGACAACCGTGGAGGAGTGAAAGCAGCAGGGTGGAGCTGCGGGAGGAGTCAGCCTGCTCTGCAGTTGAGACAGAAGCCTCAGCCCCCCCCAGAGGCTCTGGGGCTAGGATAGCCCTCCACAGCTATCCTGGAATGAGACAAGGGGTCTTGGCCTTTATACGCCACTATCTGCCAGTCATTGGATGCAAGCTGAGGAGCATAAAATTAGGCAAAACATATCTTGTCACCTGAGAACAATTCCAGAAAAAGGACTCAGACTTAAGTTATCAGCACCCAGTAATTCTGGAGACTTGGAGAATGAACACCTTGGTCCTAAAGCATGAATCTGAGCAGAGAGTTATATGAAAAGATCAATAAAATAGACAAACTTCTAGCTAGAGTCACTAAGAAAGAAAGAGAGAAGATTCAAATAAATAAAATCAGAAATGAAGGAGAAGTTGCAATGAACACCACAGAAATACAAAGGATTATACAAGAATAATGTGAAAGGCTGAATGACACCAAACTGAATAACCTAGAAGAAACTGAAAAATTTTTAGATGCATACAAACTTCCTATACTGAATCATGAAGAACTGGAAAACCTAAATAGACCCATCACTAGTAACAAAATTGAAATGGCAATCAAAAACAGTCCATAAAACGAAAGTCCAGACCAAGATGGCTTCATCGGTGAATAGCACCAAATATTCAAAGAAGATTTAATACCAAACTTTCTCAACCCCTTCTAAAAATTTGAAGAGGAAAGAATACTTCTTAACTCATTTTATGAGGCTAACATTACTTCAATACCAAAACCAGGCAAGGACATCACACACAAAAAAATTATAGGCCAGTATCTTTCATGAACAAAAATACAAAAATCCTAAACAAAATATCAGCAAATTGAATACAGCATTAAAAGGATCATATATCACAATCCAATGGGATTCATCCCAGGGACTCAAGAATGCTTCAACATTCACAAATCAATTTAATATACCACATTAACAAAATAAAAGGTGAAAATCATATGATCATCTCACTAAATGCAGAAAAGCATTTGACAAGATACAGTATACATTTATGAAAAAACACTAACGTGGTTATAGAAGGAAAGTCACTCAACATAATAAAGGCAGCATATAACATACTCTCAACTAACATCATATTCAATGGTGGAAAATTGAAAGTTTTTCCTCTAAGATCAGGAACAAGACAAAGATGCTCATCCATTATATATAATGCCATTATTTTGGTGATGGATATTTATAAATATATATATAAAATATATTCTATTTTATATATTCTATTTATATATATAAATAGAATACTACTTAGCCATAAAAGATGAAATTTTCCATTTACAACAACATGGATGGATCTTGAGAGTATTATACCAAGTGAAATAAGTCAGATGAAAAAAGTACAAAGGCTGTATGATTTCAATCATATGTGGAATATAAACCAAAAAGTAACAAACACAGACAAACTCATAACACAGACCAACAGAATGGCCATCACCATTTCTGAGGAAAGAGGGTGCGGGGGGCAAAGTGGGCAAAGGGGGTCAAATATGTGGTGACAGAAGGAAACCAGACTTGAGGCGGACAGAACAAAATAGAACACACAGATATCAAATTATAATTTCGTACACCTGAAATGGTATAATGTTACTAACTCATGTTACCCCAGTAAATTTAATTAAAAAAAATGGGAACACAGTTTAGGAAACACTTATTTCATCAGTTTCCCTATAGCAGTCTGCAATTATTTCAAATGC